GGCCGTCAGTAATGGGCGAGACCCTAGAAAAGGGCGAGACCCTGTAAATATGAAGTGCCTACTCCGTGCCGGCCAGACCGCGCTCCGGGATTAGCAATATGGAATGTCTAATGTCCTTTTGGGAACACCTAACAAATGAACTTTAAAGTTTACCTTGGGGAGTTAGCCTCCAGACGCGGCTCCCGGGCCGCGAACCATTCCTTAGCTTGTTGACGCTTCACTTTCTCGGGAGAGCCGAAGAAACCAGCTCTGCGCACTAGAAAGGAAAAGTGAGACTGAATTATTAGGGTGCTGATTCGTAGCGACACTGCCACACGAGCTAATCCTAAGATAAGCTAAATACCGATTTTCACTATGCGGAGACTTGGGGTAACTGTGGACCGGACGTTTGGGAGATCGCCTGTCTGACCCACATTCATCGCCCGGATTCCCTGACCGACTGCAGCCGATCGGGACGATACAGGCTCCAGGGGGAACTAGGCCTTCCCCGGAGTGGGTACTCGGGGACCCGGGAGGCCGTGACCAGCTCTCTCGGGGAATCGGTGCAGACTGGGGCCCCCTGGGGCGGACCACCGAGGACCCGAGAGCCCTTGATCCACTCTCTCGGGAAATGGTGCGGGCACGTCCCCTCAGGGAGTAGCATCCAGCTCATCATAAAATAAGAAGACGCTATGCCACAACCACCCCATGATGGAATCCCATACGTCGCGTCAGGCTTGCTCAGACGTCTGGGTCGCAGCATACTCGCCTCTTCGCAGTCTTCGGGGACTGTCCTTGCTGGGATGTCGGGAACCGCCGCCTTTTCCGCAACCTTGTCCGCTCCTCCCTGGACTGGAATTTTTTTCTGATTTCTTCGTCCTTTCCGGGAATAGGTCTCTCGGGGGCTAACATCGCGCTACCTCTCATTTCTGGGAATCATCTCCCGGGTCATTCTCCATCACGCCTGGAATCGTTCGAAAATCATCATGGGGGGACTGTCCTTGCATGGCGTGTCTATCGCCTGGTCCCAGTCGTATATGCACTTTCTCGGTGCGCATTTCGATGGGAATCTTGTTTTGCCATTTCGAATTTGACGCGCAACCGCACACACTGAGTTCTCGCAAGTCGTGGATGATGACTGGTCCTGCTTATCCCGGGATCGGTGGCGTCTGCGCCGTCCACTCCAACTCACGCGCCCGCGAGTGTTCCTTCCGGCTCGGCTGCTGACGCTGTACAGGGGAGTCTGGACCATGCTCGCGCACTGGTCGCCCTCGCGAACCCTCCTCCGGCTGCTCTGAGCGCCGAGGATCGTCATTGCGGGAGGCTCTCCTGGCACCCACTTACTCCCTCACGACATGCATCCGTGGGTCGTTCATCGACGTGGTTCGGCCGGAGCACACGGCCCCAGAGTTGGCCGGTTCGCTGAGTTTCCGCAGCATTGGAGTCTCCCGCCCTCTGGGTGGTACGGCTACTCCCGATCTGGAGGCACTCGCGGGTCCTGCGCAAGTCCCTCCTCCATTCATCTATCTGCCGGCGACTACCGACGATATCCGAGTTCTCTTGGCCGACAACCCCTCAGGTATTCGTTTTCGGGACGTGGAGGTGTTGATCCATGTCTGTGTTCGCGTTCTTGAGTTCACCGTTCCGCACTCGAGGCACTTTCCCACCTGGTCCCTGCCGGCGATCGCACGCCTACCGACGTCCTTATTCATCACATCACATCATGAACATCTCTCCGGGACTTCTTCATCTGTCGCTCTCAGCCAGCGGGTCCGGGCTTCTGAAGTCCAGGCTGGACATCTCCGTGACGTCTTCGGGTTCAGCAGGTTTGGTTACCGGGTGCTGAACACCCTTCACGCGCTTCGACTCGCTCTGGACAGATTGAGGCTCCTGGAGATGGCTCGCGAATTTGCGGCCAATGCGGACCTTCGCAGTGAGGTGACCAATGCCGTCCTCCGACAGGTTCTGGAACGCGAGGTCCCTCTGCGGGAGGCCCGGGATCAGGAGTGGGGGGGCAGCTCTCCGGGAGGTGGACTCAACCACTGTCTCCTCCTACCAGGGGTTCTGCCAGCGGGTTCAAGTTATCCTTCAATCCGAGGTGCAGCGAGGTAGTGCCCTGGCGTCACGCCTGGAGCTCACTGAGACACGGTACTTGGATGCCGAGAGCGCACTTACGGAGGCCCGAAGCGAGGCGACCAAGGCGTCGAACGCCCGGGACACCGCGGAGGAGGCGCTCGCGACTGAGCGCGGGAGAACTAAGATGTCCGGACTGAAATATCCCGGGAGCTGGTGTCTATGAAGACTCGCCTTGAGGAGATACAGGCTCAGGTCGCTTCCCGGCCTGCCGCACCTCCCGGGAATTCGGTTACTAAGGCTGAGCACGACGCGGAGGTCCGTCGCTTGTCGAAGCAGATTCGAAAACTTCGGGTTTCTAATCAAGCCTTACGCACTGAGAATCGGCGGTTCCGGACTCTACTCAGCCCTGCCAACCTCTTCCGTTTCTTCAATGATCAGGGAAGCCCCGGGGTCATGACGGGGGCATCAGCGTTTCAGGAGCAATTGTCGGGGTATTGCCGGTCTGAGCAGCCTTCTTATTATGTTTTTCTTGATGGTGAGTAAGAACAACGCTCCCCCGCCATCTTTCCAGCCCACGCAAGTGGGGTGCGACAGCGAGGATTCCGACCCCGCTTCCAGCGCAGATTCCGGCGATGAAGGTGGTGCTGGCGAGGGAAATAAGCCCGTCGGGGGTGATCCGGTTGACCCTAACTCCGCGTCCGCGCCTAGTACTCCTCCCAAGAACTCAAGTGCCTATAGCTCCGGCCAGGCTAAGAAGGCCACGGTTTCTGAAAAGAGTTCTCTCCGTGCGCCCAATTCCAAGGACCCAAAGTCCACGTCTCCGCCTAGCTCTCAGGGCAACTCTCTCTTACGACCTGTTCCAGAGGCGTCTGAGGCTAACCTCCTGGGCCACTTGTTCAACGCCAATTACGACATGGGAGGAGGTGACACTGAGGAAGAGAGGAGGACTCCCCAGGAACAGAGTGCGTGAGGAAGATCATCCCATGGACGAGGTGCCTGAGACGAAAGATCCTCCCGTCCGAGGACGTCGATATTAAGGGCGTCTCGGGATCAGGTCCTCGGATGTCACGGGATGGACTGCGCCAAGTCAGGCCCGTGGTCTACGATCCCCACACCGATCTGAACGTTTTTTTACCGACCCATAGACTCCGACGCTGAACCGGTTCGGCCCCTGGAGGAGTTGGCGCAGGCCTTGACCCGTTCCAAGGTCGAGGATGTACGCATGGATGTCATGGAGTACTGGCCGATAGACTCTGACAGACGCAGAGAACGCCATCCAGGGCCGAACTGCTGAGGACATCGTCGTGCACGTCAGTCTCCGGAAGAGTATGCTGGTGGAGTTCCTGCGTCGGGCACTGATACTTTCTTTCCTGGATGAAGTACCGTGGTTCAAGCACGTGTCCGAGGTTTTTTTTGACCGGGCATTGGCTGAGGCCGAGGATGATGACTGGGAGCTGGGAATAGCCGAGGGCGTGAATCCTTGGCCTTCAGTGCCACTTCAACCCCGGGATAGCCCCAGTCCTTCGGAGCATGAAGAAGACGCTTCAGGTGACGAGCGAGATGGTAATGAGCCGGACGATGAGACTTCTCTCGGCATACGCTCCCAGCCCAAGTCGAAGACCCCGAAGGGAAACGCACCAAGCGAATTGTTCCTCTGACTCCCTCGCCCGGTAAGTCAGGTTCTTCGCGCACTCCTCGGGGGAGGACCGAGCCGGTACTCTCTGACGTCTCCTTCATTGATGAGGACACCCCTCCCCGCCGGGTCAAGACTTTGCGTGGACCTTGGAGATGGGTTACGAGGGATATCACACGGATACCCGGCTGGCCAAATCTTGGATTGTCTACAACACGCGCGTGCGCCGGACCAGCACTCGTCACAAGCACCAAAACCGGGGCTTCCCGGACTACGAGGTCATGAACGATGAGGTTCACTCCGTGTCGGAACGAGTCCCAGTCGCAGAGTATCGAGACATCATCAAAGCCCAGACTCCCTGGGACGACATGTTTGATGAGCGTGTCAGGGTCCTGTTGTTTGTCCGCGATACGTTGACTCCGGTGATCGTGGGCATTGCCAAACGCTATGTCCTGTTTATGTGGGTTTGGCGCAGGGAAGAGTGGGAGCACACACACTGGATTGTGCCGAACCGAAACGTCGAGGCACATGCTCTCCTCCACCAGGATATCGCAGGGCGCCAACGAAAGTATGAGAAAGCCCTTAAGGATGTACAGGCCGACGTGGCCACATTTCCTCCTCCCGAGCGCAAACTGTTCCGGACAGAGGCAGCGTTTTGGTGTCACTCTCGGAAACCGTGTGTGGGGATCCCCATGGATCCGGATGCACACAAGACCCTTTGTGCCCAACTCGACATACTGGACCAGCGCGAGCCAGCACGTCTCTAGTGGGGATCGTCTTGTCCGGTTGAGCGCAATCGCAGAGAGTCTGTCCCCGGCCGTCTGGGGTACACGCGTTACTATTCACGCCAAACGCCTTTCTGTTCCTGAGCCCGAGGAGTACATTATGCCCCGCAGCCATCGTTAATCCCCAGGAACTGAGCTTGCCCGGGTCTCCTCCAATCCCGGAGACTTCGCATGCCTCTTTCAATATATCTGTGCGTTTGCCTCGTTTGTCTTGTTGTCTCTTTGTCTTTTTGCTCGGTAACGTGTACATGTCATACAAACATACAATCACTTGCGCCCCCAGAGAGTATTCTTATCCGGCGACACAACGCTTCTGAGGGACACTCCAGAGCCCGCTATTGTAGTGAGCTTCGGGCCCACGCCCTAGGGAACATGCACTTCGCTCATGCCCTGGGGAGTATTCTCACCCGGGAGTATGAGGCTTCTGGGGGACACTTCGGGGCCTACTGCTGTAGTAGTCTCCGGGTCCACGCCCCAGGGCTTTACCGGATTTCTTCTTCCGGGAGCTCGTCTCCAGACTGCGTGGCCTAAAAACGCACGCGGGCTCGCTCTCCTTGGTCGAACTCGTAGAGGAGCCTCCCGCAATTGAGGTGTCCCTGGGGAACCCAGACCGACCCTTCATACCCTTTCCATTTTACTTGGTATTCCTTGACGCGCCGGCTAGTGCGGGTACGGGTGACCCAACGCACATCGAGTATTGCTTCTACTTCGTATTCCCCGGAACCCTCGTCGGGCTCCCAGCTATCTTCACGGAGCAGCGCAGCGTCGAAGTCGTCGTCCTCCGGGATATTCATGGCCTCCGAGGGCCTTCCGGATATTTGGCACGGGGCTTCAGCCGGCTGACATGTACCCAGGGGTAACATCAGTATTCTGTACCTTCGACCTGGAGGCCGTACCGGTAGTCGCTACCTTTTTCCAGAATCCGGAACGGACCGTGCCAAAGATGAGCCAGCTTCTTGGTGAGTCCGGGGCGGACCCGGGCTAGGTAGACCCAAACTGAGTCCCCGACCTCAAAACCTTCTTTGAGCCGGTCCGTGAGCAGTTTCCATTTCCGGTTATGGTCCTCGGCTCGGCGTCTTTTGGTCTTTGCTTGGAGGTCCCGGGCCCAGGCTCGGGCGTACTCGACTTGGCGTTGGATCTTCGTGCGCCACTCCTGGACGTCTCGGAGTTGGACGTCACGGGGAAAGTTCCCCATTAGGGCTTCGACAGTGCCCTGGGTGGCCCAGCCATACACTAAGTAGAATGGCGTATCAAGTCGAGTGAAGTCGAAGGAAGTGCTCAATGCCCACATGAGTTTTTCGGCTAGCTCATCCCAGTCGCTCTGTTCCACCGTCTGTACGTACGCCTTGACATCTCGGATCACTGTGTGCACTGACCTCGCCTGCTGTCCGTTAGCCTGGGGGCGATAGGCCAGAGTCGCGCGTTGTCTACTCCCGAGCATCTCCCTGAAGTGCTTGAACACCCGACCCATGAACCGTGGGTCTCGGTCGTGGCGGATCATTTCGCTGGCTACGAACCTCCGGAACACGCATTCTTCGTAGGCTTCGGCCACATCTTGGGCTTCAGTGCTTACCATGGCTTTGCACATGATGAACCCCGAGATCGCACACTGGAACAGGAGTAGTGCTGTATTTCCCCGGGCTGACTGATGCAACGGTATAACAAAGTCCATCGAGACGACTTGAAATGGTCGCGTAGCCAGCAAATTGCCGGGCGACGAGCCTGGGTTCTGGGGTAACCCCTTAGCCGTGACGCAATCCACGCACTCTTTGACGTATCGCTCCGTGTCCTTAAACATCCCAATCCAGTAAAATTCTTTACGCAATCTCTCGCAGGTCCGGATGATGCCCTGGTGAGCGCCTTGGAGGTCCGCGTGACAGTGGTGCAGAATATTCCCTTGGAGGTCCTGGGGAACTACCAGGCAGAGACGATCGGCAGCGTGCCGGGGGCGTTCTGGGATGTTTCGACTCACATAGAACAACGCATCCCGGGAGTCCAGAACGAACTGGTCCGCTATCTTGGTCAGGTGCGTTGTCTGCCTCAGAGACAATTGTTCTGTCTCACCCCGGAGGAAATTCACTAGGGGTGCTAGTCCTGGGTTGTGCGCCTTTTGGGAGCAGATCCTCCTCCATCATTTCCTACGAGCGTCCTCAGGATTATCTTCGGAGCCCTGGGAGTCGGAGTTTCGGGGACCGGCTGTCAGCTCATCTTCCGCGCCTTCGGTTCCCAGCTCGTCGGCCTCGGGGTCGACAAATTCTAAGTGGTCAGCTCCGAATTCTCGAGTCGATTCTTCAGCAACTTTGCTTTGCTCGGACGCTGAGCGCGTCGTCACGAATGTTTCGCCCCCCGGGGAACACCTAGGTATGCCCCGGGCTGTGGCTATGAAAGCGCACTCAACCAGCGACTGTTCTGTGGGCCTCGGGTCCTTCATCAGTTTTTCGTGGATCCGGTTCAGGCCTTGAAGCAACTTCCGTTTCCTGAGGTCCGTGACTTCCAATGATGCCTGCTCTTGGATGACCCTCTTGGAAATGTAGTCGGCGTGGAAGTCTCTCTTCACATGTACTAGGAGCAAGGATTTGAACTTAGCTTGGAGTCCTTCGGTTTCCTGGAGTAGTCTCAACAGGTGGGGTTGGGTACAACCGATAACCCTCTGTATTGCTAGCCGGGAGTCTCCGACTACAACCAATTCCTGGACCCCCGCGTCTAAAGCAAGCTGCATGCCTTTGACCAATCCGGAATATTCGGCTTCATTCACGGTAGCCTTCTCAAGGAAGTGTCCCGTGGCCGCCACAGTCTCCCAACTCGGGAGGCTCCAGAGAATGCAAGCGGCGCCCCCTGACCCATCTCGCTTGGCAGCTCCGTCGAAACTCAGCAGATGACGGTCGCTAGAGAGCATTTCCAGGCTGACTGGTGGTGTCTTGATCCGGGAACCCCTTTCCGAAACTAGGGTCTCTACGACTTCGTCGAAGCGTTCCCGGGGGGGGGGTGATATCCGCTCCCAGGATCGCCGCAAAGCCATCTTCGTCGTTCTCGCCTCGCCGGATATCCAGGTCCCAGGGAGACAAGTTGACCACCCACTTGAGGCATCTCCCATCTACCGTCTTGGACTTGAACAGCCACGCCAGCACCGAGTACCGGGTATACACGAGAATTTTCTTTTCGGAACAGCTCGTAATCATAGTGTGGCATGTGTTCAGGACTCGGAGCAGCGTTAGTACTTCTTTCTCGGCGGGGTGTTACCTGAGTTCGGTATCTTGGAGAACTCGCCCCACGAACCGCACGGGTAGTATGGTGCCGTCGGGATCCTGCCCCAAAACCGCGCTGATGGCTCAGGGGTTGGCGTGCAATATGCTTACATACTGCCTCCCGGGGTCGGGGTGCTGGAGTAGTGGTGTCGACACTAGTCGGTCCTTGAGTATCCTGAACACATGCCTAGGTTTCTCCAAATCTCGCCCGGAACGGAGTTGCTCGTCCGATGTTTCGTAGAGCGTGGCCGCGAGCACGGGTAGGTCTTCGATGAACTTAGCATAGTAGTTGAGGCTCCCGAGGAAGGACTGTACCCCCTTCTGAGTCTTTGGTAAAGGCAAGTTGAGGTCCTTTTCCGCCGGTTTTGGGGACGCCCAGATTCCGTCCGAGCTGATGTCATGCCCGAGGTACTTGCATTTCTTGACTCCGAATTCACTTTTCGGGAGGCTCACTGAAATGTTGCAGTACCGCAGTCGGTACAGGAGGGCATTCAATGTCTTGCACAGGTCATTCCAGGACGGAGCTCCGTAGATGATTGTGACGATGCAACCTGAAATTCAGGTGGCCTCCGCAGCTGCCCTGACTGGAGAGCCGGAACTGAGAATGCGGAATGAGGTCTCTGGCCACCGGACATCCTGAATTGCGGAGATATGTCCCGAATGGAGATATCACGACCAACCCGAATGGAGATATCACGAGCAACCCGAATGGAGATATTACGTGCAACCCGAATGGAATACAACCCGAATGTCGAGCTGGACTATTCAACTGATGATGTGGTGGTCCAAGATGCACGACACGACATACGCCAGTAGCGACAGAGGTCGAGCTGCACCAACGTCATACTACCTGAAAACCATACTGAAGAGGAGATGAGACCCGTGTGAAGAATCGGCTGATGCTGCCAATTCAAGGAGGGTCATGTGTCAACGTGTGATGTGTGTGCTCAAGCTGATCGATGATGTGACAACCCAAGTATACAAAGACCAAGTCAATCAGGCGGTGTGTAATCACGAGACAACAGAGACCAAAGATTTCGAACA